CTTAGCCGAGGCGAATTAAATGCAATAGTTAGGGAGCGGGACTTTAGTCTTAGACCGCCCGGGTAGAGAAGACTAGAACAGGAACAACAAAGGGAAAGGCACCGACACACAAGTGTGTCGAGTACCATTTCCCTGCGTTGCCCTAATTAGGTGGGGAGTAGAACTCGGCGGGGGGGAGGGGAAACGTGCCTGACCTCAAGTGGAATTCCGTTTTTAGCCCGGCGGCTATGGTTGTTCACCGTGAAAGCCCGGCGGCTCTTTGTTCAGACAATTCAGTAGTGAAACAAAGTCGGTTAAGAAATCCAAGGTTTGTGGTGGAATCAGTTACACGATTTCCGGAATGAAAACAGCGCCTCCTTGCGGAGGATCACACCCAGCACCCAAGTGGGACGGCTGAGCGATTCACACTCTGACATTGGTTTGCTGTTAACTCAATTCCCCCGATGAGAAGGAAGGTGATGGAACAGCAAGGCGAAAAAGTCCGGTGACTTGAATTGTTGAACATTGTTTCACTCGCGCTGCTAGCTGCAATGCACAAACGGCGGAAAGCTGCGGTGGGAAAAGGGTTTGGGGGGGGAAGTATCGTGTGAAACCACCATGAAACAAACCAAAGGAGTGGACAGCTCGTTCAAAAGTTGTAGCAGGTACACAGGGATGATCAGTCCCTGCTTCCCCTTCTTGTCCACAGCTTCGTTGCGTGTGGTAGGACAAGAAGGCCACACGCCCCTGCTTAGAAACATTGGAACCCTTAGGTACAGGGGTTGACACACACACACACACACGCCTCCCCAAGCAGAGGCTGCTCTTACCGAGTAGCGTCCTTGCAGGAGTAAGGCCAGGAGCCCCTAGTAGCGTCCCATTCTAAGGCCCCGACAGCACCCAAGCCCCCACGGGCGCACAACAGCGGCGCACAACAGCGGCACCAGCGCCCAAGCTCCCACGCAGCGCACACAGCCGCAGCACAGCAGCGGCACCAACACAGCAGCGGCGCACAGCAGCAGCACCAACACCCAAGCTCCCACACTTGACAACAGTCGCACACAGCAGCAGCACCAGAGCCCAAGCTCCCACGCGCACACAGCAGCAGCACACGGCAGCGGCACCAGCACCCAAGCAACCACGCGCACACAACAATCGCGCACAGCAGCGGCGCCACACCCAAGCTCCCACACGCACGCCGCAGCAGCATACCAGCGCCCAAGCTCCCACGCGCACACAAGAGTGGCACACAGCAGTGGCGCCAGCGCCCAAGCTCCCACACGCACACAGCAGCGGCACACACCCAAGCTCCCACGCACACACACACACACACTTCGAACTTGGGTTTTCAGTTATACTCAGTTGTCACGATGGGAAGGAAGGTGATGGAACGGCATGGTGAAAGGTCCGAAAACTTGAAGGTGTTTCAACATTGAGAGTTATCATCTGCAGAAACACGCGAGCGACTGCGGTGAAAGGCTGCCAAAAAAACGCGTGGCTGCTGCAAGTGGCTGAAAGGAGAAAGGTTTGGGGGAAGTATCATGAACCACCATGGAATCAAACAGCAAAAGTGGACGGCGTGTGCAACAGTTGTTCGGCAGGTACACACTGAGACGTCTCTCAGTGCTTCCCCTCCAGCGACTGAGCTTCGTTGGGGTCGCTGGAGGCCTTGCCCCCCTGCCTGTGATGAATTCACATCAATGGAAAAAGAAAGGAACGATCTCGGTGGTAGTGGAAAGGTGAAAAGGTGGAAAACCCTTAGAACCAGGGTGTGACACACACAACACGCCGTGATCGGCGCACAGAGCGAGCGGTGGAAAACGCAAGTCTTTTTTAATTAAGTTGAAAAATTGGCATGCATTGTAGTCTCCAGGATGTGAGCATGCATGCGTTGATGGTCGGTCAAATGGCTGCGGGTGGGAAATTAAATTGAAGTTGGAGAAAACGCAGCAATGCACAACACGAATAAACGTCGGAGCGTTGAGTGGATAGTTCCTCGCTTATAGCCCGGCGGCTCGAAAATCAGGAAATTCAGGGATAAAATGGAAACCGTGGAATCAGTTATGGAAGTGGCGAACTGTGAATTCCTGCGTGGCTTCAGCGCCTCCTTTCGGAGGATCACACCCAGTACCCGAGTGGGAAGACTGAGCGGGTCACACTTCGAACTTGGGTTTTCAGTTATACTCAGTTGTCACGATGGGAAGGAAGGTGATGGAACGGCATGGTGAAAGGTCCGAAAACTTGAAGGTGTTTCAACATTGAGAGTTATCATCTGCAGAAACACGCGAGCGACTGCGGTGAAAGGCTGCAAAAAAACGCGTGGCTGCTGCAAGTGGCTGAAAGGAGAAAGGTTTGGGGGAAGTATCATGAACCACCATGGAATCAAACAGCAAAAGTGGACAGCGTGTGCAACAGGTGTTCGGCAGGTACACACTGAGACGTCTCTCAGTGCTTCCCCTCCAGCGACTGAGCTTCGTTGGGCAAGGTTTGTTGCTGGAGGCCTTGCCCCCCTGCCTGTGATGAATTCACATCAATGGAAAAAGAAAGGAACGATCTCGGTGGTAGTGGAAAGGTGAAAAGGTGGAAAACCCTTAGAACCAGGGTGTGACACACACACTCATGGATATGCGTACTGACTTGATGGCGGTGCCACACGCCGGCCTAGGGTTCCAATTCCTAAGGGTACAGGTAAGGAAACCTAAAAGGAAGAGGAGGTCCATCCAAGGTTTCAGGTGGCCAGCAACTCCAAAAGAAAACAGTCAAGTTCATCGCCGCTGCAGTAGCCCTTGACTGAAGGAAACAACGAAGTAGACAGCTTGTGCTTTACGTAGGTTTCTCTCTCGGCAGGTACGTCAATCCGGCGTCCCGGATTGATTTCACAGACCAGTGCAAGCATCTTTGTTAGTGCCAGACTTGCACGGTCCCTGGCACCCCCTGCTAAAAGTTCAAATCATTTCAAACCAATCCGAAGGATCCCTATGATTCCAAGGGTTACACACACACGCCTCCCCGAAGGGAGGCAAACTTTTAAGCTCCATGCCGAGGGTGAGGTGAGACTACGAGAACTGTCGGATCTCACGATAGGCCCCTGCTAAAATCCGAAAGGATCCCTATGATTCCAAGGGTTACACACACATGCCTCCCCGAAGGGAGGCATGTGTGACCTCCATCCTGCCCGGAAAGGAGGTAGGCACATGTGCACGCAAAAGAGACAGATGAAAATGAAAAGGACAAGACAGACAAAGGTGTGTGTGGTTGCCGATGAAAAGGAACCAAGTGAAGAGGGACAACCGATGAGCCAAACCTCATTGTAACGAACCTGGGCCACCTGAACCTTGCTGTAAGTAAAGTACGCGTGCGTGTATGTGTACAAACTAAGGTCCGGACGAGAGTGCGCGCAAGAGAAAGAAAGGATGAGGATGAAGAGACATGAAGACAGAAAGACATGAAAGAAAAGAGGAAAAACGGTCTGTGGGGGCCGATGAAAGGGGAACCAAATGAACGGGGACAAACCGATGACAAACCAAACCTCATTAGAAAAACCTGTTGCAGAAGCCTAGTTTGCTTGTAAACACGCCGCGCGCGAGGAAAGAGGGGGCAGGGGGAGGAAGAAAAGAGAGGGAAAGAAAGAAAGAGACAAAGGTGCTCCCAGCTACGACACATGCGTCCAGGGACACACCAAAAAGAAGGGCTCCCAGCTATGACGAAGCATCCAGGGACACCCAGGGAGGAGGGTGAGGAGAGGAAAGAGAGAAGGAAAGAAAGAGAGAGGGCGAGAAAGGGAGAGGAAAGGAAGGTGTTCCCAGCTACGAACAATCGTCCAGGGACACACCCAAGAAAGAGAGGGGTGATCCTGAGTATTGCATTCAGGAAAACCGCAGAAAGCAAAGAAAGAAAGGGGAAGGGAAGGGGGAGAACGGGGGGCTAAGTGTTCGACAGGTCCCAATGGACCTTGAACAGACTTTGGTCGCTGCGACCACGTACGGCTTGCCCGAAGGCTGCCACCTTTGACCGCTACGGTCACGTAAAGGCATGAGCCAGCTTGGAATTCAAAAGATGAGACATAAATCATCGGACGTACGGCCTAGGCCACCTACGCTCGCTGCGAGCTGCTCTGTATCCAGGCAGTGGATACGTTCGACGTACACCCGTTCAACGGGTCCACGGGAGGCACTCTGCGGGCTCATCCCGGGTTGGCACGAAGCCAAACACACTCATGGATATGCGTACTGACTTGATGGCCGTGCCACACGCCGGCCTAGGGTTCCAATTCCTAAGGGTACAGGTAAGGAAACCTAAAAGGAAGAGGAGGTCCATCGAGCGGAGGTCCCAAGGTTTCAGGTGGCCAGCAACTCCAAAAGAAAACAGTCAAGTTCATCGCCGCTGCAGTAGCCCTTGACTGAAGGAAACAACGAAGTAGACAGCTTGTGCTTTACGTAGGTTTCTCTCTCGGCAGGTACGTCAATCCGGCGTCCCGGATTGATTTCACAGACCAGTGCAAGCGTCTTTGTTAGTGCCAGACTTGCACGGTCCCTGGCACCCCCTGCTAAAAGTTCAAATCATTTCAAACCAATCCGAAGGATCCCTATGATTCCAAGGGTTACACACACACACACACAACCGCCCGCGCCCAAGCTCCCATGCGCACACAGCAGCGGCACCAGCACCAGCACCCAAGCTCCCACGCGCACACAGCAGCGCCACCAGCACCCAAGCTCCCACACGCACACAGCAGCGGCAGCACACAGCAGCGGCACCAGCACCCAAGCTCCCACGCGCGCACAGCAGCGGCACCAGCACCCAAGCTCACACACGCACACGCGCCACCAGCACCCAAGCTCCCACGCGCACACAGCAGCGGCACCAGCACCCAAGCTCACAAAGCGGCACCTCTCTTCCTATACTTGAAGTAAGAACCCCAATAGCTCACGCTATCTGGGGAACAAACACCCTAACTGCCTGAGCTCTCAAAGCGTGGCCTTGTCTACCACGGAACTCCCGGTGTCCACACAGGCTCGCGCCTCAAGATTTGACAACTTCTTGTCTTCTGGCACCTTAAGGTTTGACAACTTTTTGTCTTCTGGCGCCTCAAGATCAACAACTGAACCGATGTGAGCGGCATGTGGCAAACACATGGTATGAAACGGATTTACAATCAACATCCGTTTTTGCAATCAACATGGGGAGGTTCAAGATTCTATACATGATGTACCTGGAACCTGGAAGGCTCCTTCATATTTGGGTGCGACTGAAAAAGTGCAATCGCCAAACACCTTAACGTAACCCAGCCAGGCTGGCATCAGCTTATGGTTGTGCTAAGTTTGACAATGATGACGGCAGAAATGATGCCTCAATTCAAGTCATTGTTGGGGTTGCGCGGTCTGACCCCTTTTCTATCAATAAATATTTGAGAACATCTGACATATTCATATTCAAGATTCATCCAGAAACCGTCTCCGACTTGACTGTTTCAATTCTGCGTTTAAAGATTTTAAAACGCTCTGCTGCCACGGCTCCTGACGTTCCCTCTCCTTCTGCTCTCCCTTCACGCGCCACTTGGCTTCTTGCAACTCCTCTTCGCGTTGCTTCTGCACCTCCTTGCGGTTGCGGTGCAGAATCCGGGGTTGGCCTGGAAGACTGGTCACCTTTAATATTGAAGCTATGGATCACCCCAAGAGCATGATGTAATTAGGATGATTGGACCGCTGGGCGCTGCGATCCAGTATGGACCTTGTCTCACGATGTTGAGTGTGATTTGTCATGACTTCTGTGCGCCAGGTGCTTTTCCAAACTCCTTCGGCAGTAAGCTACGGCATCTCATGGGTCGACGTCTGATTCGGTAACCAAACGGTCTGATTCGGTAACTCTGATTCGGTAACCAAAAGCACTGATTCGGTAACCAAAACGTCTGATTCGGTAACCAAAACCGCTGATTCGGTAACCAAAACCGCTGATTCGGTAACCAAAAACCAAAACCGCTGGTTCTGTAAAAAACAGCTGATTCGGTAACCAAAACCAGGAAGCCAAAACCAAAAACATTTCCAAAAGAAGACACTGATGACCCGGGTAGTAGTAGTAGTAGTAGCAGTAGTAGTAGTAGTAGTGGTAGTAGTAGTAGGAGGAGGAGTAGTAGTAGGAGGAGTAGGAGTAGGAGTAGGAGTAGTAGGTGGTGGTGGTTCTAGTGCCACCGATGCAAAATCTCTCCGCGAAGCAACAGGAGAAACGTTATCTTGTTGGCCATGATTCCCCCCCACCCCCTGTGTTTTGTAGGGTCCTAGGCTCCCCTAGGCGTGTCTACGCTATGCGTGTGTAGCACCTGTTGTTGGTAGATAGATCTTGTATATACCTCTTCAGTCAGCTGCCGCTCTAATTCATTTGGCTCAAGACTTTGTAGGCCAATACTGCACTGCAGCCACAGAGAAAAGGTGTGCATCGCTGCCGCTCGCACACTCGCTTGTGGTTGGGTCTTACTTGGTGTACTCGATCAGGTCCAGTATACTCTACTGCCACTTGGGGGAACCTACCCCTCAAAGTGGTAGCGGAGCTTGTGTCTCCTGCTTCGCCACGGTCGAGTTTGCCTCGCGCAGGTTCGTCCGATATTCCGGACAGGAGACAACCAAGTAGCCCACCTGTCTGAAGAGTAGTGACCATGGTCCAGATCTTTAACATAGATACGGACAATGAATCAGAGTATAGTCACCAGGAAGAGTCGAAACCAGAGGAAGTTCCCAGCAGTCAAGATCCTCAGGTTCGACATTCCGGACTTATAACCAGCACCAGGTGTCAAAAGGACGCCAAAGATTCCCCCGTCCTTCTATGGACAGTCATCTTGGTTCGAGCTTGAAGATTTGATCGATGACTGGGTAAACATAACTACCCTATAGAGAAGCTTGGTCCTTCGCTTGACCGGAAACGCAGAGTATTACAAGAAAATGCTTGACAATGAGCAGCTTCGTAACGAAAGAAACGGCATTGCGTACTTCAAGGAAACGTTACACCCATACTTTGTCAAGGGAGCAAATCATGTCTTTCTCTGGCGTTTCATGCAGCTCTGTAGGGCCTGGCGCGGAAACAGGAATTTGTCAGTTGGATCGCGCGTTTTGAAGTTGCAAGTAAGAAAGTCATGGAAGCCTTCATGGGCTTATTAGATCTTTCAACTGTTCCACAGCCTGATGATTTCAACTTTACTGATATCCTCCCGCAACAACCGTACTTGCTACTTCAAGGACTTCAAGATCCCACAGAAAGGAGAGAGAATGCAGAAAGGATTCGTTCTGAACACATCGATGCCATGAAACAAGCACATCGTGATACTTTTCCATTGTCTGATAACTTGACGTCGCTTATCTTCTTATTCAGTCCGACTTGAATGAACAGCAAAGAGAAAGGTTTGTAGCCAGCATGGCCTTACGTCAGGTGAACATGAACAACTACACATACTTAGGTGTCAAAGGCTTATTCCTTGATCTCTTTTGCGGAACCGCCACAGGAACTGCCGATCCTTCAGTCCGCAGGCAAAGAAGATCCACTTTCCTTGTCCTCGATGAAGGAGACTTGGAGGAAGAATCCGGATACTGGGGTGATGGATCAGGATACAGGCGAAGAAGGATTTGCGAGATCGTTAGCAGCAAAAGGAGGAGAATCCATGGAAGAAGATTCAGAGAACCAACCAAAGGCGGCAAAGGAAAAGGCCGCGGAAAAGGCAGAAGACCCGGCTTTGTGAGCCGTAGAGGCAAAGGTGCAGGGGCGCACTATGCAGAGTACCCTGACAACTCCGGTTTCTATGGAAAAGGCAAGAAAGGAAAGAAAGGTGGAAAGAAAGTTTCAAAGGAAAGGATGCCTTTGAAGGCAAAGGAAAGAGCCAGCAACAGAATCAATTTCAACAATCCAATGTTGCAACCACCGACAAGCCTTCAACAGCTCAGTCAAATCCTAACGCCGAAGAAACCTGGAGTGCACATGAATCACATGAAGCAAGTTGGTCATGGGACTCATATGGATATCACACAGACCAGTACTATCCAGAAGATGTCTGGCAGGCAAAAGAAGCCACTTGGCAACAATGGACATATTACGCGGACGGACAGACGGACAGACCGCGAAACAAAGAGCAGACAAGCTCAGAGCCAAGGCCTGACCAGCACAACCAGTCAACAGATATCCGATATTCCGGACATCATACAGAAGATTTGACTAGTGAAGAACATGTTTCTCAACAGTATCACCTAAACCCTGCCAGTAGTGAGGAAGACTACCGACATTCCGGTTGTTCTGAGATGATTGATCCACGCTTCTGTTCATCATTTGTCAACTTTGACGATGGATTTCACCATGCATTGCTCTCTGAATACGCCGACTTGAGGTACAGTCCGACCTATGTGATCATTGACAGTGGCCGTACCAGAGCGATGGGCTCGAGGACCGCCATCCTGCGTCTAGTGAAGGCATGTAAGAGACACTACAAGTAGTTCCCGGGCAAGCCGGCGGTGGAAGTTTCCTATAAGAAGAAATTGACCTATAGGAGTGTCCACGTTCTCTCCAACATGCGCGTCCTCCAGTCAAACGCACGCACTAGAAAGTCGCCAGTTATCACCATCCAGCTCCACAGATACTCCGCGTACTAAAGTTGTACTACAAAGTCGCCAGTTCTCAGCTTCCAGCTCTACAGATTGCTCCGCGTACTAAAGTTGTACTAGAAAGTCGCCAGTTCTCATCATCCAGCTCCACAGATACTCCGCGTAGTAAAGTTGTACTACAAAGTCGCCAGTTCTCCTCGTCCAGCTCGCCAGATACTCCGTGTACTAAAGTTGTACTACCAAGTCGCCAGTTCTCAGCTTCTAGCTGCACAGATTGCTCCGCGTACTGAAGTTACTGAAGTTGCACCACAAAGTCGCCAGTTCTCATCGTCCAGCTTGCCAGATACTCCGCGTACTAAAGTTGTACTACAATGTCGCCAGTTCTCAGCTTCCAGCTCTACAGATTGCTCCGCGTACTAAAGTTGTACTAGAAAGTCGCCAGTTCTCAGCTTCCAGCTCTACGGATTGCTCCGCGTACTAGAGTTGTACTACAAAGTCGCCAGTTCTCAGCTTCCAGCTCTACAGATTGCTCCGCGTACTAAAGTTGTACTAGAAAGTCGCCAGTTCTCAGCTTCCAGCTCCACAGATACTCCGCGTACT